AATTGACACGTGTAAAATTTTTTTATATTTTCTGGATGTTAATTGTGACTACATTATAAGGCCATCCAAAAGTAAATACATGCCCATCTCAGTTTACCTGATAAAACTTTTATCAGGGCAACAAGATGCATGGAGAAGTAGTTCTATTAAATCTGACACCATATAGTCAATATTAGCTTTACTCATTTTATTTTTTAAAAGTGATTTTAAAGAACTCTACAACTTGTAATTGTATGCAATTAGGAAGTGTACACACAAAAAAGGGAACCAAGTAGAAGTCTGACTACTAGAAATTTTCTGACCTCAAACCTTATATCTTATTCATCAGGAAATTAATTTAGCGTAAACTTGCATAAATCTTACGATGCCGACGTAATATTGTGTAAATCTTACAGTGCCGATGTAAGTTTTACACTTTTTTATTATTAAACTTACAATTGACACGTGTAAAATTTTTTTATATTTTCTGGATGTTAATTGTGACTACATTATAAGGCCATCCAAAAGTAAATACATGCCCATCTCAGTTTACCTGATAAAACTTTTATCAGGGCAACAAGATGCATGGAGAAGTAGTTCTATTAAATCTGACACCATATAGTCAATATTAGCTTTACTCATTTTATTTTTTAAAAGTGATTTTAAAGAACTCTACAACTTGTAATTGTATGCAATTAGGAAGTGTACACACAAAAAAGGGAACCAAGTAGAAGTCTGACTACTAGAAATTTTCTAGGAAATGAAACCCTTGTCCTACATTGGAAAGAGGTTCAGATTAAAAACATCAAGGGTTTATTCTCCGAATTTTCTCATTTCTGCATGGTCTTACTTGATTTTATATATTAGTCTTCTATAATGAATTTAAGAATAATAACATCAACTGTATTTACACCAATAAATATTATAATGGATGTTATACGATGGAGCCAAAAGATTAAATAGTAACAAAAAGATAAGCCATGTTTATTTATTTTATATAAAAATATGATAGAAAGCACTAGAGTAATTGCATGGAGGAAAATACTTGGACCCAAAGTATTACCTATCCTTTGGTCACTCTGGTGGAAATATTTACTATTATTTATTTCTCCTTTATCATTTATTTAAAATATTAACAAGAGTAAGTTTACTTGCCGAAAATAGGGAGTTTCGGCAGAATGGCGTATGTGAAACTGCCGAAATAGTTTCGGCAAATCATTCTGAAATGCCGAAAATTCCGAAATTCCGAAATTCCGAAACTGCCTATAGCTGACTTTCGGCATAACTGTTAGTAATATTTTAATATAGTTTCGTCATGTTTTAACCTAGAGGTTAGAAATTGATTATTTAGTTAACTAACTACTTGTATACTCGACTATATTTTTTTGATCAACTAATATTAATATTCAAATAAATAGTCAACTAAATAATCGACTATTTTAATTGATTACTTAGTCTAGAATTTCTATTCGTAATACAAATTCTTATTCGAATTATTCGTAATAGTAATACAACCTAATACTGACACTAATTCAAATCATTCGTGTTTATTGAATTATTCGTTTATTTGAATTATTATTATTCTTTTTCATTCGAATTATTATTATTGTTTTATTTGAATTATTCGTTTTATCCGAATTATTCGCTTTTATTCAAATTGTTTGATATTTCGGCATTTTTGACATTTTCGGCATTTTCGGCATTTTTGGACAGTTTCGACATTTTTGACATTTTCGGCAGTTTTTTCATTTTGATATTTCGGTATCAAAATTGTCAAATCCCAAAATAGCAATGTGTCACAACATTATAAAATCACACGACTCAATCTAGAACTTTAGTTTTGGATAAAGCAAGCGTACCAAAATTAACCAATCAATAATATCGCTGGAAATAAAAACATGCACAACATGCAACAAAAAAACCGGAAATCTTTATTTATTATTATTTACTTGTTTCTCAATGAAAATAGATGTCAAATGAGCTGAAAATCAGATGTTTCCATTAATATAAATTTTATATGAAACTTATTTTTAATTCATTTAATATTAGGCAACAAAGTTAATTTTGTAAAAATCAACAAATTCCATTCTTGCTAATTAATATCATTCATTCTTTAGGATTTTTTAGCATTCGTTACTCTATGTCTCATTCAACAAAAATTTTGATGTTCAATACATGAATCTTGTTGAATAATCATCACATAATTAACAGCACGTTTTTAAATTGAAGCCCTCACGAATAAATTTTGAACTAAAATAATTACTTTCAGAATTCTATTTAAATCAAAACAGCATCTTGATCTTCGTGATAAGTTCAGGGATGATCTCTGTATAGAATTGTAATGGCAATTGGCTGCTAGAATGAACAAAAAAACATACATTTTCTAAGTTGCACCAAAAAAATTCTAGTTTTTTTTGTTACAGTATTAACATACCTTGAATAATATAGGAATTAAATTTGTTTCGCATACATATAAATGGGATGCCAATGTGGCAAGCATAGTATGAAGCAAATTTTTGATGTAAATACTACAATAGATAAATTAGATAAATTAGGCAAATTAAATAAATTTACTAACTACACAGACAGACTCGATAAGTCAGCCCGCAGTAATCAATTGTTTAAAGTACTCAATAGTATAAATTATGCGGCTGACTTATCGAGTCTGTCTGTGTAATTAAAAATGAAATTTTCTGGATGATAAAAATCCACATATATTCAAATGGATACTTGAACTTTATTTCTAATTTGTCCTGGTCAAGTGATATAATGGCAAAATCTTTCGTAAATAAGAAAGATCACCGGTAAATCTCCTTGGCCAAATTTCATTTTTGACTAAGATTCGTATCCCTAAGGCTTTTTTTATTAATAAAATTGAAAAAAAAACTTTCTATTACATTGTTGTTTAATTCCAAAGATCGCAAAAACAGTTTTTTTTCCCATTTCAAATATAGTTATTGAGCCTTAGCCATAATGTTCACTTTGTCTGGTATGTCCTCTTATGCATATATGTGTGTCATTAACTCAAATTGGTCTGGGCCAATTGTCCTTGTTTCAAAGTTGAAAGTAGATTAATTGGTATACAGGACAGGTTGAAATATATCATTTTTTCTAGATTTACATGTTACGCCCCAATATGAAATGCAATGTCAATTAACATTATGTGACAAATAAAATGAATGATTTTATTTGCTAATCGACTATTATATTTAATTTTCTTGCAAAATAATTGGTTAATTAATATATCAATCCATCTATCCAACCTATTTATTTGTCTATTTACCAAATACCCCAAAGTGATTCTAATTCACAACAAAATTTTGAACAAGCTACAGCAGCAGATAATGGATATTGAGAAATTCCGATTTTCTCATCAATCCAATCATCAGCGAAATTGTCAGTACCATGAGACATTGCACCAATTACTATACAAATTGAATGATCTGAAGGTAAACTTGGTAGATATTGTGATAATCGAACAGGACGTGCATCATGTGACAGCGCTAAAAAAAATATGAATGAAATTGGATTAATAATAATAATAATAATAAATTTGGAAAAAACAAGTTATTATTATTATCCTTCCTTCTTCTTACTTAATTTTACACATTTTGTAGGAAGATAATTTGTTATAGGATTTTTAATTACACGTAATAATTTTTCATTTCCATCTACTGAATGTATACTTAATTTATGAAGAAGTTGTACTATTTTAATAAATAATATTAATAATGAAGTTTTTTGGGAATTTGATTAACAATGAATCAAAAAATAATAATATTTATATTCGTATATAATGATAGTAATAATAATAGAAACAATTAAATATCTCTTCTACTAACCCATTAAACCAGAAAATCGTCTATAAGTTCTTGGAATTCTAACTTGAGGATTTACTTCAATAAGTACTTTATTTGCAGTGTGAATGTAAATCTGCATAAGACCAGCTTTGTTCAAGGGACTGTCCAACAAAGCCATCAAACACTATATTATGATGTTGATAATAATAATGAATATCATTAGATATTTTATTTCATAAAAGAAACAAAATAAACTAAAAATTATTACCTGATGTGTAATATCAGGACGATAAGTAGTTGCATCTAATTTACCTAATTTTCTTAAAGTTTTTTGATGTTCATCACAGTTAATTAACTGGTATTGTGGTGGCCTAGACTTTGGCACTAAGTAAGTTTCAAGTGTTGCTTTCTCCAATACAACTATCAATCTACGTGTCGTTTCTTTTTCTTCAAATGTTTTAGGAAGTTTTGGAGCTTTTGGAACAAGATACACATCAGTCTTCAAATAGTCGCTGTTCCTTTGATTTTGATTTATTATATTATCATCTTTATCATCATCTTTAGCAGCAATACTAGAACTTTCTTTTTCTTTTTCTTCGATCAAAGAGGAGTCAGGATTACGACGATGTTTATTATTATTTTTGTTGTTGTTGTTGTTGTTGTTGTTGTTGTTGCTGTTGTTGTTGTTGTCGTCGTCGTCGTCGTCTTTGGATTTTTTGTCAAGAGGAAGATGTTGTTGGTTTTTATGATGTCGTTGGATAGGTATAGCTTCACCTTTTGTTCCTTTATGTTTTTTCTTTGGGTTTCCTGACATTTTTGTCAATTAAAAAATATTTTAAGATTGAATACAATTCTTGATTGGTTGAATTTTATTTATTAGAAAAATTTGTTTTAATTAGTTTGAATCTACAAATTAAGACGAAACCAGCAGCATTTTTAATTTATTACTTTAAAATTCAAACAATCATTTTTTTTCTGTTAGATGTTGTTTTAAAGTGGAATATGTACTTCGTCTAATGTGTGCGCAAATAAATCTTGTATATAGTGTATATATGCCCAACTTAAAAAAAAATTTAAAATGTTCTTACTAAAATCCATCAATTCTACTCATTCACTACGCCCACCATTATTGTAAAAATAGATCTATCTACTCACTACGCCCATCATAACTGTTTTCCGGATGAGTGGCACATTATATACATACATAATAGTCACAATAATATGATTGTCGATGGTAACGTTGTTGAAGCTGTAGTGGTAATGGTGATGTTATTGTGATGTTGTTTGTTGTTGTTGTTGTGATAATGGTGACGGTAATGATAGTTGAGTGTAATTCGCTAAATCATAAAATAAATCGGCAAATGGAATAATTGACTCGCAAAACTTATTTTAATAAAATCATTTCTTTCAAAACTTTCTTTTGCTAATCGTTGATAAAAAAATTTTTAACAGAAAGCAAAAAATTATTTGTATATAGTTGTGATGAATGGCTAATTCATTTTACTTTTAACATTCGTTGGTTGATTTGATGACATCCTCGAATGGCTTGTTAACAACAACAGATTATTAGGAAGATGTTATTTACAAATGATGTATGATTAATCAAAGCGTAAATGACTATTCGTTCTTCAATTCCTATTTTTTATTTATTTTTACTATCTATTCGAGCATCCACGTAAAAAAAACAAAAGTTTATTGACATTTTATCTTCATATTTTTTTAATGTCGATTATCACGAAAAGAAGCAATTATTCGCACAATCTTCATGGAGAATGTTACTGCAAACCAGTTTTGAATATCCTTATCTGCTATTTCAGCTACAACACTTATAGTAGCGGACGTTTTCCAATGAATAAGAATTTTGTAAAAAAAAAAACTTTTTTTTATGGGAGTTTGTTTACTTGAGAATTAATTAGCAACACAAACTTTATTCACTTGAAGGGGAGGAATACTTTTGTTTTTTTAAAAATTTTTTTGAATTAGACAAAATAAACACTTGCACAAAATTTTTAAAATTATCTTGATTAACTTTATAAATCATAAATCATAATTATGTCATCATCATCTAATAATAATAATAATAACGATAATAATAATGTCATTAATAATAATACTACTAGTAGTAATAATACTAACAGCACAAAAAATACATTTGCTTTGGCACTTACTTCAACTACATCAGCATTCGCTTCAACCACTTCCTCTGCTCTCACTTCAACAACATCAGCCCTCAGTTCAACATTTTCATCATTAACTTCAAACATTTATCATCCTTTAACAACATTAGCAACAGTATCGTCCACATTAACGTCAATTAATAGTAATAGCAGTAATAACAGTAGTAGTAGTAATAATAATAATAGTAGTAGCAGCAGCGGCAGCAATAATAACTTGTTGTCTCCAAGTTCATCAACTACTGCTTCATCACGTACACATAGAACTACAATAGCAACACATACATCAGTACATTCAGAAATATCAATGAATAGACAAACATCATCTGATAACATGTCATCATCAACATCTAATGATTCTGATGGTGGAGATAAAAGTGAAAAAGATGTTAATAAATTAACAGAAAATATGTTTAAAAAAGTTACAGAATATTTAAAAGGAGAAATTTTAGGTAAAAAGAAAATTTCCAAAACAATATAATAAATTTTATTTAAATTTTACTATCATCATC